CGATTAAACATTTACCAAAAGAAAACTAAATAACTTTTTCAAAACTGAAATTGACAATTTTTGACAAAGAGATTCTCAAAAATGCTTATTTTTGTTTGCTTCCCATTAGTTTTTTTGGTTTTCGCCTACTAACTACTTAGGTGCCCACGGAAAGTATAGATCTTCGGGAAAATTGATTTGTACAAGATTTACCTTTGTCGGTATTTATTAAATACTGCTGTGCTCATGGCTGACATGATTTAAATTGACACTAAAGGTCACCAGTAACCTACTCTTCATTTTATATACAATACATACGACACATTTTGTTACAGTGGTTGTATTAATGCATGTTTCGAGCTTGACGACATCACGACGGCGTGCTATATGGTACAACACAATTCATAATTAGGCGGCTCATATCGATATAGTTGCCAGTTCCAACTCCTTAGGGTCATTTGCTTTAATATTTAGAATATCGTGTTCAATTATTCGCTCTAACCCTAATAATTTAGTTATCTTTTCTTCAGTTAAGATCATCAACACGTGATTCATAGTCTTGTTTTAAGCACCCTATCGAGCCCTTACTTAGAGTTTCATGTTCCGATGGTCGCACTAGCTAATATTGTTGATTTATCGATCCAACGTTTAATGGCGCAAAACACAGAAGTTAAACCCTAAACATCTACGTAAGCTGTTTTTCTTACTGTATTTCTTAACATTAACTCTCTTGACAATCCTTTAGAGATTTTTTTTTCACAAACACACAGCGATTCATTATATAGACGGGCTTATGAGTTTTATTTGATTAGTGACTTGGACTTACGAAAACGTATTCAAAATGTATTTGAGCAACATTAAGGGACGCTATTACTCTCTATTAAAAAAAAAAAGCAGATGTTTTTCCGAATTAGCTCTTTGGCCACTATTCACATGTGAACCGATTGCTATAATCTAATGATCTGATACATTTTTGGTACATTATTAATAATTCTTTAAAGGTTATAAACTATGAAGCTTTTATCTTCAAATTACTCAAAGCTCAGAAAAATACCTCAAATGTTAGTGTCTTAAAAGTTTTTCTAGAGATTTCTCGGAAATAATTGCAGCTTACTTATTGTTAATGGATAGAATACGTACTGACTTTTTATCCATCTTGGAATAGATATAACAGGTAAACATTTCAGTATGTAGTGCTGTTATCATGACCAATTGGTCCACCATTATCATAAACATAACTTTTTTGCTGAAAATGGTGAACTAGATACAACAGGCCACCATTTTGATCCGTTAGTAACATATGGGAAGAGTGAATAGTGAGGACACTTCAAGATATTTATGGTCAAGCGTTTGCCAAGCAAACCTCTTAATACGGTTAAAAAATACTACCTTTAAGAAGATATATGTGCATAGAGAATTTTTGCTTGAAGACTGGAGGTATATCCGGCGAGATTGGTTTCAGGGCATGTTTCCATAGTCTACAAAGAAGATCTGTGCCAAAATGTCGAAGATATATATATATTTTTGGTTGATGAATGACGGGGTGTTTGTCGTAACCAGCATACGTCCATCCGCTACTTTTGGTGTCAGACGAAGGTCAATGTTTTTAGTCCGAAATAACAAATCCTCATCGTAAACAATAATACATCGTTTTTATAAAAGACGAAGAATTAGCTATGATCGAACTTGGACGCTGGAACACTTATTAAAATTGAAAATTTCATTTTTCGCCTGAAATCGACCATCTATGCTATTGGCTATTTTCGTGGGACTTCAAAAAATGTTGAGGAAGATATTAATGGTACTGCAAACCGGAATATTTTCAAAATGGGTTCAAGTTTAAAAGATTCACAATTTATCAAAATGGCTTAAAATGCGATTTTTAATACACCTAGAATTCTGATACAGGAATTGACGGCCTTTTATAGAGAAGGAGATAATTTGGCAATTGGATCATCGATATACACTCCAACGGTTTTTGAGACATTTTTGAGTCCTTTTAAATTTTTAAATTTTTTGACCGTTTTGAGTCCTTTTAGAACGTTTGGGCTGCTATAGGCCTAAGATTTGACGGTATACTAGAGGGACACCATAACGATTTTAAACCTACAAGTATCTCTTAATGTACGGTCACTATTAAAAAGTTAGTTGAGTATTGAAACATATTCTGAAAAAGGCTAGTAAGTAATTTAAACTTTGTATTGAAGCTGAAATCACGATGTATAGTGTTTATCAATAATAAACATGACCGTCAATAAGGCCACTTCTGGCACATACAAAATTTGGCTTGAAATATCTGCTTTTTTTTGCTTAGATACAGTATTTGGTGCAAAAAATATGAAAAATTCTCAATTTAGACACTCTACCACGTAATATGTATATATAATATTTTTTACCATTTCGTCGCTTTTCCTCACTTTCTATTTTGATCAGATTTCATTGTTACTTTGCCTTTGTACCCAAATAATTTTTCCCTGCGTTTCCGAATTACACGATTATCCTTTCTTCACCCTTTGTACATCTTACCAGTAACCATTATTTTACGAAATTTCTGATGATAATTTCGCCACTCCTTTTATTTTTAGCTAGTTTGCTTGAAACGCAGGTGAAATAAATAAAACTGATAAATTCGGTAAGCTATTGCCAATAACAACGTTCCACTGATTAAATGGAAAAAGCGCAGGTTGCTGTGAAACATACGCAATTGCAATGCAACCCATGTTTATAAGAGAAGCAGTAAGCGCTGAGTCACATGCCTTACCTGCAAATGGTAAGCTTGAAACTCTTCAGGCATATTGCAAGTCATGCTTGCGTATTTATTTATAGGTTTTACTTATTTTTCATATCCCTTTGAAGACCACCGGCGAACCTTTCTAGCTTTGATATATGGCCTTGCTTCATGGGTCACAAGAGGCTATCAGCAGAAAAGACCCTATTTCACTACAAGACGAGATTACATATATCTACTATGCCTTCTTAGATAGTTTGTTCGCTATTCCTCTGCTTTTAGAAGTGGTAAAACCTAGCGGAGTTTACTTCGAAAACCAACTTCGTGTCAGTTCAGTAAAGTATACTTACCTTTTTGAGCCAAATCAAAAGGACGATTCGTACCGAACAATATTTTATGCAACATACTTTCTCAAAAAACAATTCTCAAAAAATCAGAAATAATTTAATAATATTTTTTTTTTGGATAGTTAAGATGCTAGCTTTCCTACCGAGATCACATGAGTATATCTAGGGGTATAGTATCTATTACACTGTTACGCTTTGATGTACAGTATGTACATATTTCAGTTGGTTCATGAAAAATCGGAATGCCGTATATCTTGGGGATGCATGGGGATGGGAAGCATGGGGATTTGAGAGATCCAGTACCATCCATGCGTCGCTTAACATAGCTTTCGGCTCGGAACACCCACCGTCTATCTCCGTGGGGTTGCCCTCTTGAAAGCGGGTATTTAGAAGCAGTCCTCCTTTTTTAAACCTCATCGGCACGAATCTTGTCAGACTCACAATTATGCCGAGCTCTGTCAAGATAGTCACTAAAAGTTTCAGAATTGTTGTATGGATTCTTTTCTCTGCCAGGAACCTTACAATGACAAGTTCGTATGCGCGCAAGAAGAGTTGCCGCGCTGATTTAGTGCATCCATGATATCGACAATCGGAGCTTTGCATGATCACGTCGCAATACTCATACTGCTTATCTGGTAAGACACCAAGGATTCCTTAAAATTATTAATCTCGAAATTAATAGAACGGCTAGCAGTTTATGATATATGCACAAACTCCCCTCCGAAATTGGCAGATCTGAACCCCCCTCATCTTTAGGTAAGACTAAGTATGAGTTCTGACTACCTACTAAAAGGGCACACTTCGAAAACGCTCATTAAACCGCGCCGTTAGGATAACAGCTTTTTTAGGTGCTCGTTTCCTATCTAATCCGGACATACCCCTTATTGAAGTCCAGACCTAGAAGAGCATGGATGATATCCGTCGTTATCGGAGAATCAACCTCGATGATGTTTCTCTCCTCATTAACAGTATGCTCAGACTGCCCAGATCACAGACAAATCTCCTAGTGCCTAAATGTTCGATTTAAACATAGTTCGTTTAGGCTTGATCGGGCACAAGGTTGAGGTGTGCCGGGACTGGCACTCAGTTTCACAACGTAGGTGTAGTTCGTTTGGCCGTTCGAGATACGAGGCAGGTGCCATTCCGTAATGTAAGTCCGCAAGGAGCCGCACTCATTCCTTGTCCACTTGGTAAAGCAACAAAGTTTGACAACAGTGAATGCTTGTGATTTCCAGGATGACGAGGCTGTATAGGGTGTTGCCCGGTTTATTGGGCATCCTGAAATCTTTATAAACAACGAGGGTAAACAATAGCTACAAGGAATCTAGTGCCTATAGCAACTTCTCGATGAGGATGAACTTAGCCTCCCACGTACATACGTAGATGCCTAAATGGCCGATATTGGGTTTGCTTAAAACAATTACGATACGGGTTCGACCACGAGTGCGTGAAACTCATTCATGGCAGTCGTAGGAAACTGAGGCTCCTCCGATCAAAGGTTTTACGTCGTTTCTTCTTAATTTGGATTCTCGGTTCTATTTGCATAGTTTTTTTTGTTTCTTTTATGGAATTTATAGCTAACTGAAGTCATCTAGCTTGGAACATTTTCTGTCCCTCAGACTGTTGACAAAGATTTTTCTTATTGCTACATAGTTTAAGTGTAGCTTTCACATTGGAGTCGTTTAAAGTTTTAAAAAGTAAATATAAGAAACGAAAACGTATATGAAAATATGTGGTACAGTTTTGCGGAGCATCTTAACTTGAATTTTTAATAATTAGTCATATTGTTAAAAATCTTCAAATCAATTTTTCAGGGAATTTGTTTAATGCAAATTACGAGTAATGAGTAAGCTTCGCTATTGGGGACTGTCCTCTCCTACTCTCGAATTAAATTTTTTCGTCCTTTCCAGAATGGCTCCGATAGCGGCTTGGCCCTCTCCACTGGCGGTGCAATCAAGATAAAGAGCGCGCGTAATTGTCAGGAATGCAGGTAGACAACCAGGCAAAGCATTACGATCGTATTGAAGAGCGACGATAATGCTACCGTAACTTAATCCAAACAGTGTTATTTCACTTTTTTCTATTTTTTTTATCCTAGAAATTATTGGCGTTTTTCTTTATATTTTCTTATCCAAATACCTTCCTAAGCCAGCACTACAACTTTATGGAAGCAATGTGCTCCCCTGATCAAGAACCCAGCTCTGCTTCTATTTTGCCAAGTAGACAACAGGCCCCACAACTGCAACGACAGGTATTCGATTCCCATTGCCCTGAAGTCACAACCCAGATCTGGACAACCGCATCTCCCACGAAGCCGGAAAAAAATATTCGAATATACTGGACTCGGGAGCGTATCTCTGTTCTTGTTCTGACCGCACTCGGGTGTATAGTACAGTGTGCCTCTTACTCCGTTCTACAGCCGTTCTATCCGCAGGTGGCGAGGCAAAAGGGCAACGATGCCACAGAAATCGGTATCGTGTTTTCCACGTTTCCTCTTATCGGATTCATGTCGAGTCCTTTGGCCGGAAAATTGGTAAGCATTTGACATGTACTACACAAAAATTTAGTGCGTATTGTATATATTTGCATTTAATGCGCCGTTGTTTAATTGTTTAAGTATATGCTATAAGTTCAAATATTACGATTCTCTATCGGCAAGCACATCGGATTTGATGTTCACATCGTTTCAATATTTATACGTTATACCAAAGAAACAGGATCTACAACGAGTATACGATATAATGTGTATCTTTGTGTTCCTTTGCTTGCGCAATTCGCAACTGGAAAAACCCTATCAAAGGATAACTCAATCAAGGGACACATTAAACCTCTATGATATATATCTAAAGAACTTCTATAGCAGTTTTCCAGATGCTAGGATACCCCTAACTATATGATGAGATTATCCTTTGCAATCACATACATCTATAAATTGGTGTGATTAGGTTTTTAATAAGATCAATACAATCCTTTACTGTGAAACTACTAGTGAACATTTGCGATGTGAACTGTTGCAATTTAAAACAATTTTATAAATGTGTCTGATGAATGCAAATATCTGTGCTATAGTAGACGAAAAAAAATCATAAAACCGATCAACCATTGAAAAGAAGCTGCTGTTGTTTATAATACAGAAACTAGAAAAAACGCATGTGTGTAGCAATGGTAGAAGGATTAAATCCGCCTACCTTTTTATAAATTTTTAAAAGGTCTTGGCGCTTTTCTTTTTCTTTAGAAACTATGTCTGAAACCCATCCTGTTTGAAAGATTACTTAGTTTCAAGCGAGCGTATTTTCACTCTAATATTCTAAATTGTTTCTTGACTAATTTGACGTTGTCAGGAGTTCGAATATCCGATGTATATTACGAGTTTATCCCACATTTAACAGAAATGGTAACACGACTATTCAGCGTGTGCACAATGAGCAAAACGTGAATACCTATAAAATATTTTTGGCAAAAACCATCATCTGAAATAAACAAAACAGTTTAACATTCACGCGTCAATATCCATTATGAATGAGAACGAAAACAGTTTTCGAATGCATAGCATAGATCCTATAGTTACGCCAAGACACCTAAAATGAGCTAAAATATTAATTAAGAGATCTATCAAATGTGATTAGTCCCAGACCCTTTTTTATCAAGAAAAAGTGCCATAATATATAAACGGCAACGTTGTTTAGAAATCATGGCAGTGAATAGGACACGAATAAAATTACTTCTTGAAATTCAGCATTCTAAAAACGCTTCCATATAATTGTTTATATTTCTCATATAAGAAGTCTTATTCTCATAAGACTCACGTAAAAATAAATTTATATGAGCACAACTAAGCTAACTGCTAAAGCTTGCTTATGCATAAGTAATCATTTGACAATATTCAGCAGAAATAATCTATGATAGACAATTACGTATACGAACTGTGGCAATCAGTGATGCAGGTTTATTACTATAGGATGGGTATTATTATGTAAGTTCACGCTTGCGGTTTCCGCGATGCTGTAGTGATGACATATTTACGGACCAAACCGACCCCTTGAAGTGGTCGGATCGGGCTGATTTTTTGTGGGCCATTAGAGTTACTTCTAGAAAAAGCTTCGCCTAACATAAAGTCGATCAGATGAATGCTTTTTTCATAAGGGGAGTGTTGTTTTTGGATTCTGTGGAGCGTAATCATAATTTAGATAAATTGTCTTTTGCAATTTTGCAAGATTTGCTTTTTATAGGGTTTTCTCACATACATCCATAAGGGAGATGTGGGGCCCGCGGTAAGCTAACTTTTGGTAAGGTTTTTGTTTAAAAGTCTTTTCTTTTAAATAGTAGCCGAAAATTTACATGGTGGTCTATGTAAGAAGAGGGTCGTACTTGATACTAATTGAAAGTTTTGAAGAAGAAGACCTGAAGCAAAATGCAATGTACGTTTTTTTAGATATTATATGTAATTATTTCTCAGAGAACAAATTCGTAAGCCTTAGTGACCTCCTAAGAACAGAATCAATAGGTTAGCCGGCTTTACCAGCGGCAACATTTAAAGCCATGAGGCCGACTTTGTTCTCATATGTCCCTATTTAGGTGGGTCCTGAAAACAGAGTCAATCAACACTAAAGGAAACTCGTAATCAGGTTACAGAACTGTATCGACTTATCATAAACGAAACAATTAGCTGAGCTCCTGGCAACCCTATTCAAACGGGCTACAAAAGGCTAACGCTTAGACGAAGTAGAGTAATTGCAACGGGATAATTGTTAATGCATACTCAACTTATAGTTTTTCGTTAGCCTAGATGAGTGAATAAAAAAACAGGCGCGAAGCGAAGTTGGCAGGTCCGTTTAGTAATACGTAACAGTTAACTACCTTCAATCGTACACGTTCAACAACACGATTTGTATAAAAATACACAAAGACAAAATGTGAGTAGCGTATGAAAAGATCGACGACGAATGCTCATTCAAATACTATCTGGGTTGTAGGCTTAATTCATTAACCAACAAGTGTCAGGGAGGCGCATAGCGAAGCTGATACTAGTATATTATATTTAACTCAACATGAGCCATTTGCAGCAAATAAACAGAACATTTAGAATTAACTTTTGCACTATCAGGCTGCCAATATTTTTGGTGTCAAATTTAGCAGATCCAGATCTTTAGCGATTTTTGTATCTAAAATTACTGCAGTGAATAAATTCGCAAAGAATACTTTGCTGGAATTAGGCAGGCCTACGGAGTAAATTGTAAAGTAATTGATAGAACCTCTATTTATTCACACTAATGAAGAAGGGTATATATAATAAACATACTAGATACTAAGACAATTGTAATCATCAATCGAATAAGTTTACAAATATTATGTGAGGGGAATTTAACTTTATTTTAACATAGGTATTATATAGGGTATAGGGATAGATGGCTTCGATATTTATTACTTCATTTTCAATAATTTGACCCACAATACAATCGTGCAAGGTACGCCTGGTCTCTAACGTCTACCCAGCCCTAAAATGACCTTTTACACTGAGAAAACTGATTCACTTGTTTGTAAATATTACTAAAATCTTGCTGCCACGAACACTATTTACACAGGCTTGAACGGCATGTATGATAATTAGAGACCTCAGAATTTGTTACTTTACCGGTTTGAAGATTTAGAACAGCTTTCTAGACATGAGCCTTTCATAATGACTGCCGTGTGATGTGGTTGGCCACTTCTGCCTGGATTAGAAAGAGCGTAGATTTGGCGATGCAAATCACGTTGAGAGAGACAATGATCCTGCTTTCAAACCAAAAACCTATATAAATCATCATGTACCACAAGTTATTGCTAGCAAAAAAAATTATGGCAAACCTAGAAAACTTTGCATGGCTTAAAGCATTACTGAGCGTATTATTATAAGCTTCTTCAAATTAAAAAAAAATCTTCAAGTACAACATACTACTGGAATTAATTCACTAAGTCACCCATCGACTTCTGAGGAATTTCTTTCGACGGAAAAGGACCTCGGAATACAGCCCCATATTCGCTGTTTGGGGCAGACTGGCATACAAAAGCCCTCTGCACAGTGGTGGCCTTACAAAGAATACGACAATTGATGTCTTCAATCTGTTTATAGACAATGATGGGTTAATCAGGATGAGATGCTATTTTCAGTTCATGGAAATTCCCGTTCGAAATTCGTTATTTTACTTCGGTTATTTATCTATCCACCTACACGATCGATAACCACGGATCTCCAATGAACGTTAAATATGAAGGTGGAGGCAGTGTAAAACTTCAAACAGTATTTTTTCAAGTCTCCTTTTTGTTTGTTTGATTGATTATACGAAAAAATATGAGTTGACTCAAATGTAAGCCCAGGCTTAGAAAAAGCTGTTGGTAGTAAAAAAACTATTTTCATTGGTTTTTGTGCGTAATCGCTGATCAAAGAGCGTTGGCTAAACAGATCAATGGATGACATACGAACTCCTATATGTCTCTTGCTTGCAATGTTTGTCTTCGCGAATATTCCTTTAGAACCCTCTGTGAGTAAGAGGCCCGCTAATCTAACTGAATTATGGAAGCAGACCGAAATATTCTCTAAAGCTTCTAGAATCATGAAACAGAAGAGTATCCTTTTTATGGCAATTAAACACTTTGAAGGAGACACGGCACGGCAACATTGTTGGAATAAAAAACCATAGCTATTATCAAAGTCAACCCAAGATTAGGTAAGGAAGTTAAGAACGGACACAGAATAGAGCCGGGACGTGGCGAATAGAACTTATACTAGATTTCTACACATAAGTAATAATAGCTCTACTGATCGAGCAGACAAACTACTGAGCACGCTTCTTTAATGCCGTTACGTATGTCATTATTAGCGTTTAGGATGTAACTCAAATAAATATTGAACGTCCTGTGAGAAGTTTTAGCAGCTCCGCGAATAACTAACTGCTTCTTACGCGACCGAAAAATTTAGTAGAGAAATTGAAGTAAACTGTACCTCTTTTTTGCGTGATAATTAGAATCGAATTTATTTTGTCTTAGTTCTCAATACATCAAGAGAAAGAATATTGTATACTGCGTATAAAACAACACCGTGAAATTTTTCTTTATTGGTACGTCGGAGGAGAGTTGTTACTTTTTGTGGGTACATCCCTCTGGTTCACTACTAACGACTGCGCACACATTCACACAGAACAGAGTAAAGAAGTCTGTGTGACGTTTTTCATCTATATGTTTCTTCTCTGCCTTGCAGTCACCAGTTATTGAAGAGTCCTGATACAACTATACATAGACACATAAAGAATATTTTAGGCATAATATTAATAACAAGTGAGAATGTAAGAATTTTGGGTTAATAATGTTAGCTTACCGGCCATTTATTACTTCTCTGATTGTTTCCTACATAATTAAATTAATTATAAGGGTTGTATTTTCCTTATTATATTTTATCATCCATTTAAAGAGTGGACTCTTTTTGATTTAAATATTCTATTAGAATATTTCTTTTTAAATTTAGCTAAATTAACATTGCATAGAACATTAACCTGCATTAACAGATTCACCTGAAGCTCGACAGTTATTATGTTCTCATACTTCTTTTTCATAAGCCGTTTGCAAGATGAATGCTAATACCACATATATACTCCTGATTCCAGTTGACCATGCAATATTTAATGTCACGATGAAAGAGTATTGCTAGAAAAGAAGGCCGCAAGGTTTGTTTAGCTCTAGGCGTTCGTTGTGATAGTTCGAGAAACATTTCAAGTTGCACTCTTAGTGCCTTTTCAGTCTTATTCATCATTGCTTCTTGATCCTTACAAATCACTATCAACTAATGTGAAGTTAGAAGTAATTGACTTTCGCTATCTTAAGTTCCTCAAACAACTCACAGACTGGTGCTACGGCAATCGAAAGCCCGCAGTCGGTTTATTCGATGACAACACCAGACCTCATTGCTACGTCTCAACTACTTTCTAAATTGAGCAAAAGAATATCTAACGTGGGCCTCAATTCTCTTATTCTCCCAACTTAAGTCCGTAAGTGTATATGGGGTTTTCCATACCCCAAAAGAAGACAACTGGTAGGCAAACATATTCCACTCATACCTCAAGAAGTCATAGACAGAGAAGTTACATATGGGGGCGCGGATGGTAATTTTGTAGCTATCCAAAAGCAACAAGAGCGCTAAAACAAATGAGTAAAAAATAAAGGAGAACACCTTTAACACATATTAATCACCATTCTAACCCAGCTAGATCAAAAGTTTCAATTTCAAAACCCGCTGGATTCGCTGTGTAACAGTCCAATAACACGCCCTGCATATGACCTTAGCAGATTTTTTAGATTTTTCATTCTAAACCCTAGCATAATCTTAAACAAAAAAAGCATTAATCCTAGTTGACATTAACAGTAGCGTTTTTAGATTAGTGAATCTGAATAGATCCTCAGAAGTTTCAAATTTGCCCTATACAACGATTTCTCGTAAACACCTTTTCATGTTCGGATAAAACTTTCAACTTCAAAATATTAACATCGGAAAACGAAAAACAGCCAGAGAACTGCTGTGGTGAGTATGAGTTTATTTCACTGTCTTGAGCATACGTTAATACAAAGTGTTAACTATTTCGCCAAAAAGTATCGTACATATTGTGGTAGGACTATAACCGTTTTGTACACACGGCAAACTAACGATTCTATAAATTCAAGAAGGTACAATAATATTAAATTCTCATAAGAGCAAAGAATGATAATCGGATCTACACTTCTACCTACTGACATATCATGCCTCTGATTTTTCTAAGAATGTGACCTTCGTAATAAATTAATTTTACTTTTCTATAGAAAGAAGGTAAGGTCGTGGAATGGCCGAGTTAAAAAAGCAGTTCGTAAATAGCAAACCACGAGCTGTTTTAGCCGAGGTATTTATCTACAAATCAAACGTAATGAACGGAATATTTCTTCTTATTCGAATGATGGACCATGCTTGAACTTACTTATACTAATATAACGCTGATTTTGTGAGAGAACTGAAACAGGAGGGCTCCTATTTTAATATGAGATACTACAAGCTCACCAAGGATTTTTTGTGTTGCTGTCAAGGATAGCAAAAGTTCAAAAAATACATCAGTTCGTTGGTGGAACTCAATGAGCCATTTTGATACTATTATTATATGTAAAATTTTTATTCAAGTATCTTTAAGTACGGCAAGTTAGTCCACTAACTACATTAATATGTATGGCTATAACAACTTTAGAATTTAAATATTTTAACCTATACAAGTAACACAAAGTTGTTCCATTTCATCTGATTATAGCGTTAAATGCGATATTTTCGAACAAAGAGTGAAATACATACTGAATGTTTCATATTTATTATTGTAACTCCTCTTTTGTTTATAGTGCTTAGTTGCACGGTTTAAGAAAATGACATGATTAAAAACACATGGTTTTCAATATATACTCAAAAGCTAGGAACTTGATTTTTCCAATGCTTTAGACGATTCTTTTTCGTGCCGTGGTAGCACCCTCGATATCAATATTTCCCCAGATCCCATGGTTCATTGAATTCGTTACAAAGGAGGTCAAGGTTTGGTTAATATCTTGCAGAGCTAACGAAACTTTTAGATACATTTGTCGCGCCTAGAAAAACCTATTGTGGCTTTTTCTTTAATTTTATTATCTATTTTTCGTTTACGTATTAGGCATTTATTCACCACTTTAAAGGCAGCGTCGTCAAAGTCAACCTTCCCTATCTTTATCGTTCTCTACTTCATTTGTCGAGTTTGCAAATTTTACAGGCTTGTTCTTATAAAAAAAAAAAGCACACAAGCCTATGTATTACCACAAAAATCGTTGCGTAGAAACAATTCCTTGGATTAGCAAGACAAGAAACTGAAATTGTGCCGGCGTTAAATGATGCAAAATTATCAGCCGGCGAAGACGTTTGGAGACTGTTTAAATACTATTGTCCTGGTCCACCAGCGGTGACCGTAATGAACACGAAACAGACATTCAGCTTGATGGGCCATAGGTGGAACAGTGGGACAACTAAATATAAGTCCAGCAAAATAAATACACAAAAAGCGATATATAGATAAAGAAACTTTTGAATAAAGCAGAAAAATAATTGAATCGTTTCTGGATTAGTATGCAATATGCCAATAATGTAATACTGGGCACCAAGTAATTCTTGCCCTAACTGTCTTCCTTTATCTAGCTATCATCTGGAATTGCTCCGAAGTCGGTGCTGATCGTCGGGCTTACCATAGATGGCGTATTTCTTTCAACAATGGGATCACTATCGTTAATTAAGAATAGTACAGGATTTTTTGTGGCGTCCATGATTACGCGATTGCTTGAAGCTGTCGGATTTTCCATTTGCCTGACCTGCTACAATACGATGATTGGAGCGCAATTTCCAGATCGTTTGCGCATCATGGTGGTACGTTACCGATTATTTAAAATGTTTACAAAGTATGAGTGTCATCTTCATTTTTTATTGAAAATCTGAAGTATTTCTGCTGTTATTTTGGCTGTTTGGCCGCATAGTCACGTTATTCAAGATAAAAGGTAAGGATATTTTGGCATCAACTACATGACAGGAATTCATAGAATTCTGTCGAACCGGTTCTTAACAACCACTACTGATTGTGTGGTATAACCAGCATCCTATCATACATATTTTATGACTAAATGTGTTTATTTTTTAAATGATTAATAAATAAAGGTTTAACTTTTAGCCTCTTGTGGAAACAGTATTTGGTTTCGGAATCATGATTGGACCAGCAGTGGGCAGCGTACTGTACGATGTAAGTTCTTTTGCCTTTAATATTTTTTGGTCATTTGATGACCTGCTATAAACATTATTCGTATGAAACTGGCTTATCAATCCATATAGTTCGCTGTAAATGTAATAATATCTGAAAACTATGTTTTTCTTACTGCACTTACTGCAAATTGTTAAAATAGCAATACGAAACGAGCTGTAAACTCACTTTTATGTGCGATTGCAGCCAGCATTTTTCAACCGGGTTGATAAGGACCCAGTTTCGGTCTGCTAATAAAATACTCATTAGTTTGTTACCCATTGTAGTTCATGCTCTACCCGATCTATGGATGATAAAAAACAGACTTTTGCAACAAATGAAAGCGAACATGCCGCCCTCTGACAGACCACGTTGTATCAATCACTCCAGTTTAACAGTTCTCTGAAAAAGCAAAAAGACTGCAAAGGACTTTTTATTATTTTTACATACTAATCACTACAGTAACAACATTGTTACCCCACTTATGAAATTGGCATATTAAAAAGCAAAGAACAACGGATGAGGCGTTTACCCACGTTAAACCAGAAACCGTTTTGTACCTATATTAAGTTTTGACAGGCACTAGCTTCGCAATACTAGTGGCGTTTGGCCTGTTTCGAGTTTCATACCTGTTACGGCCTTTAAGCAGTCTAACCTTGGCTCATTATTACTCGAAACTGATGCGAAGACTAGTTTTTTGAAGATTAATGCGATGGAATGCTGCCAAGAGAAATGTGGGCCAACAACTCGTCCATGAAGATGATGTTGTTTCCACGATTATGTGGCGAAAATGCTTTGATTAAAGATGTATTGGGCATTGTAAGGTTAAAGCACACCACACATTGCGGTGTTAAAAAAGAAACTTTTCAACCGTACAAAGAAATTGGAATATTAATTTTGTGACTTTGGCACTATTTAAGGTTTCACTTATATGTCGAAAAAATATCCAGCCAAACAAAATGTGGTACTTATCAATTATAATGTTTAAATAAACGTACTCTCCAAGTTTATTGCATTTACTGAACCGTTTGTACAATATAAGACTTTACGTGCATTCATCATAAAACGTTTCTAATGTTTCTGTACATACACAATTAAACCTACGCATTCGGTCTTATTGGGCTAGTTAGCAATATTTACTATATTGCATTCACTGGAACCCTGTACCGACGATCGCATGAACCTTCAGATGGTTTGTACTCTTAAATTTACATCTATGAGAGCCAAGGTGAATGCTAAAATGGATTTCTTTATTTAAGGATTAACGACCACGTCAGTACGCAATTAGTAAGTAGCGCTGCTTCTCTCAACGTCGATGCTAGTCATGTCAAAAAGAGCTAATGGAGTTACTTTTTGAGCTAGAAACATCGACAGTCGATCATTAGTCCATAAAACAATTGTGACATTCGCCGTTTGTTGAAAATGATTAGAACAGCCGCACCGAGTCCACTCATACATTTTACAGTGGCTCATATGCGAGCAGTACGTAGTGCCTATGGAAAGTGGGACAATCATTTTGACCTTAGCAACACAGAGAATTCGGTATGTTTATTATGAAGGCTATAATAGAGCATATCTTCACACATGTCCCTTATCCATACCCACAGAAAATTACATATGTTCGTAACAAGCAGCCCTTTTAGCTAAAGTTCTAAAATGATTTGTGGCCATCTTTAAGAATTATTTTCTTATTGTCAAATAAGTATTGGCCGGTTTTATCATTTCTCAGGCCTACCCATTATGACTCTTATTTGTGAAAATCTAATGTTTATAAGCTAGCATGTAACTCAAATAAGATCGCAAAACCATGATCTTAGCCTGGGACTGTACTTACTGTGTTTTACAAGTATAATATAACAATACTTAATGAAAAAGTAAATGCGTCGAGGCTCATTTGCCGAACCATCGTCAACTATTAGATGAAACAGCTGGCGATCCTCCCATCCCTAGAAGATGTCTTTTCTGGCGACCTGTGAGACGTATGTGATCATAATAAGTATAACATATCTTCTCATCACCACTACTATCGTAAACTGGCTGCCCTCTTCTATTTTAAATAAAGATAAATAATGCAAGGTGCTTATAACAGATGACTGCTTTATGCTATAGTAGTTGAGGCCTGTAAGTGTTAAAAGCCATGCCAATACTGCATCAGCCGCCGCTACTTATATTGCATAAGTGTAACGACTGACGCAGCACTTTTGAACTTATATATAACTTATATATAAATATATAACATTATATACTTACGTAAAGAGGCAGATTTATACATGTTGATCTTGTATAATACGATCGCAAATAGTAGCTCTCAAACCAGTTCATTATCTCACCCAAAACTGGACAAAACAGCGAACAAAGATCCTCGTCGATGCGACTTGCTAGAGGGAAATAAATGTGCATCATTATATTTGTGAAGATTTGATCTGTACTTGAATACTTTTAAAATATTTGCGGGAGCAGCTTAATATCTTCTGTTTAAAGCGTTGAAGCAAACAATATTAGGCTAGTGCTTCTGAGTAATGGCTACCCTTTGATGCTTCGGAATCGCCTAATGAAGTTAGCCAGAAGTTAAACTGAAAATACGTTAAAGATATCTTGCTGCTTAAATAAAATACTCAAACGCAGAGCATACGTGATACTGTATCATATTCGCAAGATTTATGTTTGCAATATGCTATTTTAGAACACTGCGTCATGTTTCTATTTGTATAATTTTTTCGTAGAGATTGATATTGATAAATTAAATACATATTTTTTAGAAAATTAGGTCTTTGATCAACAAATACATATCTCATAAAACCAAGTACTTAGGCCAGCTAATATGGAAATATTATACATACCTACGTTGAGTGTGTAATTAAAATATATGTTAATGATTACAATTATAATACTGTAGTACAGTTAGAAATGCAGCTAGTAAGATAGATATGTTTATGAGCACCTGAAATGTAATGTCAGATATTTTAGTTTCATGTTCATTGTTTTTCAGAGCACGTTTTTCTTAAACCTAATTTATTTTTATATAATTTATCGCATAAAATTTAAAGGCTAATTTATGGAACCTACAAATGATATCAAATATGATAGAGTTATGAAGTGCGAAAACGAGAAAAACAAAAATGGTATATTTAGGTTTATTATGGAATAATTAATATAAGTGACTAATACTTATGCCAATTTTTCATCGGCATAGATTGGGGGATACCAACTTCCGTTTATCGTGTTCGGCGCGTGTAGCTTGACATTTGCTTGTCTTGCAATAGTCATTCTGCCTAATGAAATGCGAACAAATGAAAATGCAGAGAGAACGAAAAACACTAAAGAAAAGGAAAAAAGCTGTGATATGAAAGGCTTGGCTCACCCGCTCAAAATAAAGGTACAAAACTTAAAGGTTAATTTAGTCAAATTGTTTATACAAACTGGACGCAATTACAAACAGTATAATCTATACGAAAAACAATCATATGCAATTAGTGCTTTGCTTTTTTTTAATTAAGAAGTTAAAACATTCTTATTCTCTTTTTCACTTCGCTAGGAGATAATGATTGTATACAAATTAATAAAATACAACGACCATTGATGCCTAGTAGTATTACTTTCTTTTTCGGAATATCATTATTATTTAGAAAATTCTAACGTATATTTTAACGTATATTTTGATGAAGCTAATATCAAACACACTTGAGATAATTATGCAATTTGAGTCATGAATTTTTTCAGCCATCAAGTTTTTTTTTGGATTCTACTCTCATACTTTATTTAATTTTTTCAGAGCTTATTATGTGAATGGCGCGTTATCTGTGATATACTAGCCGTGTTTGTGTGCTGCTTCGTAATTGGATTTAATGGAGCTACCCTTGCCTTACGAACCAAGGATTTAGGCGTATCATCCGCCTCGCAGAGCTCTCTGGTATTCCTAACGTACGGAGTTGTCTATGCCATTTCTAGCCTGGCCAACGGATTCCTTTCTAACCAAGTGGTTAGAATTTTTGTAACTTTTATTTTATAGGTGATCTAAACAGACTGTAGGCGGGAGAGCAGAGCGGAAATGGGCAGAAAAACAGCCTGGTCGGACGATTAATTCGCTACACTAGAAGAAACCCTTTCATCAAAAAAAGAGATTCTACATTAGTTGGATGGAGGTAGAATAAATTACTAAATTCTTGTTATTATTAGACCCTGTGACAATAGTCCGGTGACTCCGCTGCAATGAAGCCGCTACCGTGCTCCTGTACCGTTTATTTAATTTTACCAAATGGAAATTATCGTGAATTTCAAAATTCCACTACGCAATTATTAGAGCATCCCTTCAAGGGCTTAGTATATAATTCTTTGTTCTATTGTAACAGGGGTATGTCAAAGCGGAATATTAATTGCTCTTTGGCAAGGCTTACGCATCAATTTCTTTTAGACTTGATGCAAGGAGATGGCAGATGATGGCCTGTGAGTGCCTATCAGCATAGCATATTCCTATTCAAATGTAAGCAAACCGATGCGCAAACCTAACAAGAGATCATGCTTATTGAGATTCCTTTTGGATAAGCCTCTTCTTTCTTCCAGACTTTAGATCTTTGCGGGGTATGACTACTAGAGCGAGCAGTGGAGCAGCGTACATCTGCAATGAATAATTGTGCATTACTAATCATACGTATGAATTCATGTTCGCCTAGGCCGCAAAGTTCGCAAAAGGAACTGACTTTGCCATTCTTCTATTGCTAGCAAAAAAGACCTTTGACTCGACTTTTAACCTTAACACCTTATGCAACGGTTGCTTTCTTTCTAGAACATACTCGAACGTCTCCTCCTTCCTTTTGTATAGGCGGAAAACCTATTCCGGTTTTTCCGATGTTGGACGTCCATACAACTGTTTTTTGAAAATCTTTCCCTATGATCAGTTGTCTCACCAACGAGTCTAACCATGTTTATGCATACGGGCATGTGCTTCGCGCTCTCAGTAGCATCAAGTCGTTCGACCACCTGTCATATCTTTCCCTAGTACTCGAATTGTTATCACCAGCTGTGTTACCGCAAGCTTAACACAGTTTTGTGTTTGGCTGGCAGGACCGAACGCTCACTGGCACTCAAGCTTATACAGTCAGTTTTTATTTTGATATAGCATATCATATTACCTCATTCTCTATTTCGATGGTAAAAAGAATTGACTCATTTAGAGCACTAAACTATATAGCTCTCTATAAACTCAAGGAATTTATTTAGTATATAACTTGACTGAATAGTTTAGTTATCAAAAGTGGGGTCATTAACATAACTCGTTGCGAACATTAATTAAAAGATTCTTACTTTACATTTTCAGACAGATTGTCGCCTGCTCGTGCTTCTTGGAGGAGTGATCTTTTGTACGGGTCTCGCAACCCTTGGCCCAATGCCAATGCTTCCTATAAAACCGTACGAAGACTTTTTTTGTTTTTATTGCCTCTAACTGTTAAAAAAAATTAATTATCGAGCTCAAAATATTCATAGCAATACACGTCTTTGAATGTTCTTTAAGTTAGTAACAGCTGTATGAAACGAAATGCAATTGTCCCACCATTCCAGATATGCATGTATTACTTATTCACTTGAAACGTATTCACAAACATTTCGAATGCATATATCTATAGTTATGAAGATTTTTTCTAGCACTATATTCGCAGAAGTCTGGATTGGATGCTCTTACGTGCGCTATTATTATTATTACTTAAGTATTACGCATAATTATTTTTACATACGAAGCAGGAGGTCACATTGCATTAGTTTATTAATTCCTACTGTCCTATTGATTAGCTTAGCTTTACTAAAATTTTTTTGCTGGAAAATATGAATTCTATAAAATCTCATTTCAAGCCGAACATTTTATATCGAAAATAACTCTATAATAAGCATCTCGAATATTTGTAACACTCCTCATACGTTATTCGAGCAAAGTGCTTTTCTCCATTTCAGGAGAGTTGTTCATACACATTCTAAGCCACGTCATAGGCTTGAACAAGCAATGACAGTTGTATATGCAAGTTTTGTCTAATATTAAATGCCAATTGCAGTTCAATGCGGTTTCAGCCAATAATCTCTGATATGACTACTCTAACTATGAATTGTCTTACATTGTTGTAGGTCATGGTGGCTTCTTATGCTGAGTCAAGCTTTAATGGGTATAGGCAATGGAGCTATATACAACCTTAGTTATGTGCATACGCTTAAATACGTTATGTAAGTATTATAAGTTTATTATGTATTCTATTCACATTTACCAGATGATGAGCAAGACAATGAGTTGTGTACGTGTAAGCTCAAAGTAATGCAAAACTACATATATATTTTTAGAAGAATCAGAAAAAGACAATCTCCTTTTAGCTTACTTTTTAACTTTAAGTCCAGCAACACTTCCCTGCTAAAATAGTTTATTCGGTTTTCCACGGTCTTACTCTAAAGTTCAAACAATATATATATTAATCCCCAAAAAAAGAAGATCGGGTGAGTTTGATTAAGTAATAATTTCACACGTCAGGCCTAATGCCCGGTCATGTGATAAAATTGTGTGGGTCTGTGTTTACTTGGAAGTATTCTTGTCCATTTTTTGATTAAATTTTTCCAGTTGAGTCGAGTCACTACAATATTTACGATTTCGCAGCGCTAGGTAGCTTAGGGCAGAGTATTCCTTTTAAAAGCATTGTTATAAACGATGTATATTTCATCCCAAGCATTGATCACGTGCTAAAAAGATTTCTTCTTTGCGATGCAAGAAACGATATCATATAGTGAGACTGTTGGCCTTGGCGCTTTTACTGAATCCGCGTGGGACTCGTCATCCTACTTTTAAAATATTTCCCAAATCATTACATCGCGGCCTACAAGTGTGCAATCTGGATATTTCAAAGATGCCGTAATCAGGATGTGCCCTAACAAGGCCGCTGGTTTAGGATTGGTCGTGAACCAAACTTTGTCCTTCTGGCATCTTGCTGGACTGCCCTCTTAAATGGCTGCTCTGGTCTCATACCCAATGACTGGCGCAGGCGCTACGCGTCCTGAATATCAAAAGCGAAAGGCGATTCTAGAAAATATTTAAGCTGGCGCAATATCGTTAACACAAGCTGCTCGTACAAGCTTCTGGCCTTCCTTCTGACCGATCATCTCTCGCGAGTTCTTAGTAAATCGAATGGTTATTCCAAAGGAGGCGCAGCACGGTTTTCGCGCCCACTGTTTTGTGCTTTTCGCCTGCTCCATACTTTCAGATCGCATTCTATTTACTTTAGGCATGGAAACGGACATTACCATCACATCGTATCTGTAGACTTTTAAGCAATATTTAATGCAGCACTAAGAGCTGAGATCTTTTTTTGAGCTTACTCAGACGGGTCTTCCTTTTTGGTTCAAAAAAATCATCGTCATACTTAAATGGAAGCAAGTTACAACGGACGATGGCATCACGTGTAATCTATTTAATCAAATCTAGATAGATCAGGGCGATGAGCTTGTGCCCTGCTTTTTGCTGTAGTTTTTAGCGACCTGCTTAGTGTCATTAAAAACCGGCATATTGAAGTTGATGTGCTGTTTTATCCTAATGACCTTACAGTATTTACAGTACAGAGGTTGCTTTCACCTTCAGCATAGGTGTTCTTTGCGCTTTAATGGAGGATAATCTGGCATAGGAAGTGAGTATTCGAAAAATTAAGGCAATGAAGACACTACTGATACCGATGGGCGCTACACTCTCGTACCAAAAAGCTACAATACGTATATTTACTCGTTCACTAACTAGGGTGTTACCTTCTCCGCATGTCCGGATGTCGCATCGTAGAGCAATAACAACTCAAGAAACATAGTAGAAACATTCGTAGCAATCTTGGCGGCTTATATATAATTTAGGTTATTAGTGAAAGCTGTGCTAATTTTTTTCCGTGCTGTGGATAACCCTGCATTCTCAGCAAACGTTCTCGTTATCCATTCGCTACTAGAGTCGCCTGGTTCATCAACTTTCTTCAATCCCGTTGTTGTCTTTAACCCCCAAAGTCACAAACCGTATGTGGCTCAAAAGATTTGCGAAAGAGATTATATTTGCCAAAAAACGGCAGCCTATAAAAATCCTTCATCCACATTCTGATGGAGCAATCTGTAAACTATATATATAAACCTCGAAAAAAAGATTTTAAAACAAAAAATTTATTTTAAATAAAGAAAAGTCAAACAGGATCTATATATATATGTCCAGTTTTACTTTGTTTTTTTTTGTAATTTTTTCGAGATTATTTTCCTAATAAAGTTATCACCGGGTTAATTTCGCTAAAATGATCAAAGTAACGTTTGTGCTCCTTTATTCTTATGACGTAGCAATCAGCTCAACTACCCGTCTAAGGCCCCAACGTACGCGCTTGTAGCAAGCCTATACTCCATGGCCTTTTTTTTAGGCGCATTTCTTGGGCCATTTTTGGGAGGAGTTCTGTTCGATGTTGTGGGATATCGTTGGGCTACTACCGTAGTACTTCTTGTTGTTCTCATTCCGGTACGTATATTACAAAATAACTTAACTACTCTATAACCATTTTCTCTATTCAGATAATTTTATCTATACTGCCATACATAAGCCTATTCACTGAAGAAAAGATGCACAATTAACGTTTTTGTCCTTGGTAGATCATCAACAAGCGCTTTGTTTGCCATGGAATGAGATCTAATCGATACTATGTATAATCAATGATACGATTACGCGACTCTCTACGGTGTTATAAACGAAAGGAAAACTAATGGTCTAATACTAGGATTTAGAATAAAACATGAAAATACATACTTTTGTCTTATCTGCAGCTTCTCATCTATCATTAAACTACCAACTCGCTAGCACTCGTTTGTGCCATTTATAGAGAACTGAAAACAAATTAAGGTCTCACGTAAGAGACTTGAGAAACAGGTACACGGCAAACATATATATATATAATATATGTGTGCCGGCAAACAATATAATAATCCGCTTTCTCTTACCGCTGTTTGCTTTATATATTAAAACTTTGTCCAAGAAATTAGATAAAGAGAAGTCACACAGTTAAGCAAGAAAGGTAGGAAAAGTTAACTTGAAACTTTCTATATTTCAGATGATACCAACGTATCCCCTGGTCATCCGAGATCATACACGCGGCGTTCTTCAAAGCACACCACTCAGCAGGGAGGCAATTTAATTAGTTAGCTTTACGGATGGTCAATCGACTTAATAGGACAGTTATGCATCAATATCTGTTGTAGTAGAAGTGACGACAACTTACAGCCTTCATAAAGCCAATTTCTGATGTATCTTGTGACTGACAGGTTTAAAGTAAGAACAACGAGTACCTGCGAGAAATAGTTGTTATTGAAGGTGCTAATATTTTGGAGTATGCCCTGACTTCTGCATCAAACTGCGCAAGCCGCTATTGCGCGAAGCAAAAACACAAAAAAAAACAAGATTGTACATATCGAAATAGTAACGCACTTTATTTAACAATCAATAAATAGTAATATATGGGCATTCTGTTTTATGGTTTCATACTTCCTCGACGCTTACCAAACTTGTGGTATGTTTGCTTTGAATAGTTTGGTGATTTTCTTATTCCGCACGATATCATTTTCCATGCCAGCAAACAACCGATGCGTGGCGCGTGACCATCGATGGCTTCCTATTAATTAGTTTTTGTATATCAACAGCTGCTGGTGTAGCCGTACCGGAGGTTAGAATCCAAGATTGTTGTTGTTGTGAACGGATTCATATCGCTTGTCGGAACACTGTCGTTGCACTTTATGGTCTGCTGGATTAGGTGCCAATTCATAGTTGCAAATGGCGATTTCCTGTCTATACGCCTAAAAACATCGCAGTAAAAACAATTGTAAGCATAACGCATTAATAAATAGGTGTCTAAAATAGGCTGGTAGGTAATAGTTCGTGAGATTTTCTTTAACTTTGACAACATTTTAAAAAATAGGTTTACCTTTTATTCTAAGATTGCCCTCACCGTCCACTATATTTCCATTGTACAGCTACGTACGGAAATAGTCTATCCGTCCACTGTAGTTTCGTCAGCTATTTAATAAGTGCAAAGTAACGAATATTTCAGAACTGTTGCAATTCAAACCATACAATGGGGTGTATTTTAAACACTCATAGTAGCTTAATTGATGAGGAAATATGTACTTTTAAGGCAAAACTATATTATGTTTTGTTTTACACCCTGTGGCTTATTTTTTATAGTTGTAAGCGCAATAGATCACATTTTTTCAGTATACAAGCAACGCTTATTCGTTCTACTATCAAAGCAAATAGACTTCCTGTTTAAATTAGAAATACATGTGCAGTTCAAATAGATACATCTTGGTATGTATCTAAAGTTGCTTCAGTTCAATTGTACGACTTGTATTTATTGTACGTGGAAGTAAGATCTCATGTTGTTCATACGCGCACACGCTTATTATTATAGCCAAGATGGCTTTATTTAACCGAAGTCCTCATAATTATAATATATATTCGCATGCACACCTAATTTATCATTTGCACAGCATGCAGTATTGTCTCTTTTGCTTCAGTGAAAACCATATGGAGTGTAATTATGCAGAGAAGTTACATCAGTAGAGTGATGTTTTGTCACCAGCTGTTTCAAGTCGTCCCTCAAGCCATCTTCATACTTTGCTTACATACCTTAAATGAATCGTCGTCAAAAATAACTGGGTTCGATACCGCTTTGCAGCTCATTGAATTTGCTAAAAGCACCTTGTTTTGCTCAACTTCGTCGAATGGCGGCTCTAGCCGAACTGCACCGAACAATGTTATCATCCAGTAGCGCGTAAGTATTTTATGATAATGAGACCTAGCGGCAGCTTAAAATAAAGGAAAACGTAGTCAAAAAACAATAAAGTTTGTGGGTGTGCATACTTACGACAGCATTTTCCTTGCAAATTAGTATGCCAGTCACGGTGTTACCCAAAAATATTGGTATAGAAAACCATCAACTTACCTCAGTAAACTCCCCTTTTAGTCCAATATAAACTATTTTTGTGGTGTCCGCTCCAAAGCTTTTCGGAAAATGAAGGGTGAGGTGGTGCACATTAGCAAACTTCACAATCCTGGTGAATAACAAGGACAATAATTAGTATGCCTAAAATTAATTTTCTACTACTAAACTAATTTTTTTCTCAATGTAACACACTAGTTGATTACCTACCAAGCACTCGAACCAGTTCGACGTCCCAAGAAAATTACTAGACGCTTTTTTTTTGAGGTAAAGGGTTGAGATTTTCAGAAGTGCTTTCAAGCTTTTTAGGCCCGAGGTCCACTTGCACAGTCATTGCCTAGTTATAATACCAGAATACATGCTGATGCAACCTTGTAATTTCATATAGATACCCTATGTTTAAAGAATATATGTTCCGCCGTTTATAGAATACCCTTATTGTAATGTTTAACCTGTATCTGTATTTATAAAAACTAAAAACTTATTAAACTACTTGCAATACATACTTCGTGGGGTACTCGAGCGTTCCATCGATGTCCCTGCTTAGCTCAAACTCTTGGTCTGGTTCGGCAGCTGCATCATCAAAGGACATGTTGGGCCGATTTTTAAAAAGGCGCAAAGCTGACGGATGGAAATCGCCTTCACCTCCAACGACAATAATCCCTTTCAGTTTAACATTACCCGTAAAAGGGACAGAAAATAAGAGCTCCTCATCGCAGTCTGATTCGACCACCTATTGAAAACCACAGCCCAAATAAAGTGCCAAAGATGAGGATTTGGAGAAACACATCATTCACCTTACTTCACTTATAATATGAAAACATACACCACAATTACGACCAAGTCAATACCAAAGCAGCAGGAAATTATTACTATTGGCGAATTTTCTAGCGAGCTATAATGTGTAAAATGCAAATGTTACTGAAAATCATTATGTGAATTACACAGAAACCAACACAAAAAACAATAAGACGTTTTTACGTTTTTGTCGTTTTTTTTTTAAAGAATCGGTCAATAATTTCTAAGATGATCACTGATTGCTCTACTTTTACCCAAGGGTGTTCCAGCCGTAAATTTACGTTAGAGAAATAAAACATTGGAATAAGGTAAGAAAATTGCCAAATAATAAAGAGAAACCTACATTAAAATATGCCTTCACAGACTTAAAATCATAACACAAAAGCAGTTATAATAAAGAAAAGAGTATTTTAATAGAGCGTAAACGCATTGACAGTAAACTAATCTAACTAAAAAAAATAGTATCAAAGCATTATGGTAAAAGCAGACAAAAAATTATAGTAATGGAACAGTAACAATAGCTGAATAGCTTCAAGAATCTTGAAGACTTTGAACGATCTCGAATATTTGAATGCCTCAGTAATTCTTAACATCTGCTGAAAACGATCCGATAATTTTAAGAACATTGATTGTTCATGCATTTTCTATTTTGTTGCAACTATTGATGGATTTTAAAAATTCCAGAATTGTTGTGTAAATAGTACAGGAACCTACTTGCAGCTGCTTATGAGCCTTATATGTACATCATTTTGACACAATTTGACACAACAAAAGAGACATCAAACGAGCGAAGTTGAAAAAAGCAATCTATTTGTTGAGCAACATTATATAGTTTCAATTTGTTCCTGTTCGTTTTCGTGCATTTACATAACAATAACTTCATCATGCCCAAAAACAGTGTCTCAGTTTTTTTGACATTTGAGCAAAGGTCAGCTATTATTCGGTCTTTCCACGATGGATGAACCGCAACTAAAATCAGAAAATTTTGCTGAAGTCGTCGATCTATCTTACTACCAATCTATCGAAGTAAAAATACGAGAAAGAGTTTTACTAAGCAAACCAAAAGATTCTCAAAAAAATTAGATTTAAAAGGCTCGAAAATTTATCCAGTTGACCCAGAAAGCCAATTTTAGTACAGCTAGGTTTTAGATACAATAATTAAAAGTTGTTTTAGAGAGAATTATATTTATAAGCAATTGGATCGTTTAGATAAGCACTAACAATGCTTTTTAACGTTTTGCCTCTTTTTGCAGCTTTTGAATTTTCTTAACATTTTTAGCCCTTGCATTCTTAAGATTTTTGGCGTATCAGTCCAAAAACATTTTCAGTTGAAATTGTTTGTATACAGCCTATTTAAGCGACACTTCTTCGTACAAGTATTGCTTGACGCATGGTCACTATAATGAAGTTATTCGTAGATTCATCTTCGTAGAAAGCATCTTGAAAACGATTAGTTAGTAAATTCTGGCGTCGAATGGAAGCTGTAATTGCGATCAGTAAACATGATGGTCAGGAATAACACTTATAGCGAAGAAATTCGTTGGAATATCTGTTTTTATGAAAACATAGTCTTACAAACGAAGAATAAGAAAAGTTCTTAATGTATACATATCCACTTGGCGTTATCTCGGAAAAACAGTTTCGGTGATTTTGGTGTTTTTCTGGACCTGCTTGATGACCTCATATCTAGCGAGTTAAGCGTATTTGTTCTAAATGTCGCCGAATATATGTCCGAAGGTTACTAAGAAAAGCATATTAAAGTATTGATATTGCCAATAAGCGCCAAAATATAATAATAAACATGTTTTCTTGGTGCGGCAACATTTCTAATGTAACTATTTAGTTAAAGGTTACGTATATTTGTTCGATAAATGGCGTCATTCTCTATTTTGAACCCCTATTTCGAAAACGCATGAAGATAAGCGCATAAGATAAGAAATCATCAATTTTTCATAAATGCAACCATTATATGCCATAATCTAAATTGTTTTGAGTTCTAAATTCGGCACCGCCGTTGGACATTCCATCCTACAGTCGGCTCCTAGCACGAAACGACGTGTGTCTGTGCCCGCATTCGAACCTGGATGTGTTTCTAAGATTAGCAGGCAATTACACTACCCATAAAACGATCACAGGGACAACATGCCATAACCTACAGAGAACAAGTTTCTTTATTTAATGAGTTCCTTAATATCCTTTAACGAATAGCGATGGCCAATAGGTCCCGATTACTTGCATGATAAGCAGCGGGTCCAGGCACGTTGAATCGAGCCGATATGTAGTCCGTGATACAGTAACTGGTATCTTTTTGCATGATCGGACGGTAAAGATCTTACATGTCACTAACCTTGCAAGGCATCAATTATGCTCCATTGATGCATTAACCTTAACTACTTCAAACAAAGATAATTCGAAAAAGCCCGTGTTTAAAAACAACAGCTCAATTTAAAGACGCTCCCAGTGTATTCGGTCGTGATACTAAACCATGAGTGAGGAAATATGAATGAAAATTTACTCGTCAACGCAGGACAATTGGATCCATTTCGATTCAGCTGATTAATGTGCATGTCGGGAGGTGATAACTAGGTATTCCTGGTGCTAATAACTAACCAGAGTAACAACAATTGAACTTAGCGCATACTAAGAACTTAACTGTATTTAGAACATAAGCATAATCAGTGTACGCATACTAAGAACTTAACTGTATTTAAAACATAAGCATAATCAGTGTATAAGTTCGGTCATACTTTCCGATTGATACACCGGGAAGAATCTGCAAAAATATAAAATATGAGGCTGAATCTGCAAATGCTTGCTTTTTTTACTTTTACTCTGCAAGTTCAAGCGTTTTAATAAAATTGTTCTTGAAATATCAAAACTTTCTATATACACAGTAGTCATTATTCAATAAGACCGCCCCTTTCTGTGAAATTGGACACCAAAACATTCTCTTGTGCTTATTACTTTAGATACACTTTCCTTCATTATTAAAAATTCTTTTTTACTAATAAGTATTTACGCATAGCTGCCTTCTCCAATAACATTGTAGAAATAGGATCAGTGCTACAAATTCCGACTACTTCAGAAGTCCACCTTACAGGATGGGATAAAATTGGCTTACAATAAGAACTTTATTCCAAAACAGTACTGTATGCGCAAATACAGTCAGTCTAAATATATTGATAATTAGGATAAGTACTTAAAGCCTAAGGAAACGGTATTTAGTTCCTTCCAAGCTCGAAACCGCGACAAAGTTCCATAAGGTCTGCTTATAAGAAAGCAAAAAACAAATCTCAAAAGCGATAATAAATGATATAAATAAAGCGAAATAAATGATTATTAGTTGATGGTGCGGATTCTATATAAGAAAACTAATGCTGAGAAGGTACCTAATCGCAGTTACCATGAATAAATTACTTTCAAAAGCTGCACAACTTTCAAAATGTTTCATTTTATAACCTACATAATGAATTCATTTACGTGTAACTCACTATTTTTAAAGTAATCGAAGATAAATTCCCTAAACATCGAAAGTGAGCGTCTTTGCAACAAATTTACGATTATAATTCTATTATTTTACATACATATAACATATGAACAATTGTAAGTTTTTAGAATCTGCCAGTAAGATTTTTTTATATAGATAATGCTACCACTATTAAAGTAGCGTGTATTAAAAAATTCTTGCAGTTGTTTCAAATAATTTGATAATGTATGGCTATAAATAAGCGTCTCATTAAGATCATACTAGCACATATTCCTTACGTACTAAAGATTCATGTTTAATAGTTCCAAACCACATGTGAATATACATTTAGCAACCACAGAGTTGACAATGAATTTAGATAAATAATAATTATATACTGTTATAACTATTAACAGTAGTACCATAAAATAGAAATCAAATAAGCAAAATAATATCAACATCTGGCAGTACTGTTGAGACGTATTCTTGATTTCATCAAACATATATATAAACTATAAATGCATTAAGGCAACCACTCGTCTGTAAAAGCATCACCCTTCTAAGAAACGATGAAAGCAATAAAATACATCCTAACTACTAATATTTGAGCTATTATCGTGCAAGTGCTTTCTTATTTTGTTTTTTTCCTTTTTCACATTATTATATCTAATATTTACATAGTTTAGTTCAGCTCTGAATAAAGGGAAGTAACTAAATTTAGGGCTAGCCTCGCTAAACTCTATTGGCAAGTTTTTGTTTACAAGTTGTATAGCACGCTCCTTTGTTAGACCAACAAAAAGATTCTTGGTTAATTTTACTGTTAGCATTTGACTCTTGCCAACGTTAACAACAAGATCAAACAAAGCATCGTCGTCAAGTTGAGGCCATTTCTGAGCAAAAACTCCGCCGTCCTGAAATGTGTTCTTGTTATATTCTACTTTATCGAAGAATCCAGCCCACAACTCAGATGCGAAGTGTGGACAAAATGGTGCTAAGCAAATTAATAGGTCTCCGAGGCTGCGTTCATATTTTGGTCCGAGGAAAGTCTGAGGGCTTCGTAATCCACTGCGAAGAGTATTTGTAAAGATTTGCATATCTCTAATAATGAGATTGAACTGGTGGGTCACTTCAAAGTTAAAGTTGCACTTCTTAACAAACTCGTTTCGAGCTTGCTGACAGCGACGTTCATGATCAGTATTGATAGTCTCTTTTGCAACTGTCCTGGACAGACGGAAATTCCCGACTGTCATCCACAGTTTATCCTGCCAACCAGCAATACCTTTAAACGCTATACCTGGCCACTTGAAGCGTGAAGTGGGTGCGCAGTCACCAAGGATGAAGAGGCGCGTTGTGTCAATTCCATACATGTCTGTGATATCCTGAGGTGCAATACCATTGTGCTTTGATTTAGACATTTTATCCCAGTATAGAGAAACAGGCAAACCAGTATCTATTGTTTTCAGGTTCTTTGAATCGCTGAAATCAACTCGATCTTTGGGCACATGTTCGCCTGTTGCTTCAATTCGGAAAGTCTCGTTGAGGACCATTCCTTGTACAATCATTCTCTTAAAAGGTTCAGGACTATCAGAGCACCCCAAACCAAGCTCTCTATGCATGAAGTATGCCATAAACCTCGCATAGTAAAGATGCATGACCGCGTGTTCTAATCCACCAATATACATATCCACAGGCATCATCCTGTTGGATATTAATGGGTCTACGAGTTTTTTTGCGTTTGTTGGATCCAGAAATCTCATGAAGTACCATGAACTATCTACGAACGTGTCCAATGTGTCAGTTTCCCTTTTGCTGGTTCTTCTACATTTAGGACACGATGTATAAATCCAGTCATGAATATCGGCTAGCTTTTTACCCTTGGGCAGTGCTGGTAACTGTACTGGGAGATCCTTTTCTCTAACTGGCACAGGTCCGCATTTCTCACAATGGACAATAGGTATTGGGGTGCCCCAATACCTCTGGCGGGAAATTAGCCAGTCTCTTAAGCACTTGCTTGCAGGAAATCCTCCGATCTTAGCAGTTTTTGCAAAATCTAATATTTTTCGACGGGCTTCCAGTATTGGTCCATTAAATTTTCCTGAGTTGACAATTTGATCCCCATCGATGACATTTAGGAAGTCAATATATTTCATTCTGGCAAACCTTGCATGATCATCCGAAGAAGATGGCACCCCAACGAAGGCACCTGTCGCTTTGGGAACATCGAAATCGTCTTCATTGACAAATACAGGTATACGCCGATTCTCGTCAAATGGATTTCTTGCATATATTTGTTTCGTACTCAGCGCCTGTGCTAGTAAGTGGTCTTCGCTAATTATAATAAATGCCGCTCCAACCATTAACTCTGGCCGATCGGTCCATACGCTTAGCTTATTTATAGGCAATCCTTCATCAAGACCAAATGTAAAGAGAATTCCCCTATCTACATCTCCAATCCAGCCTTTTTGAATGCTTATAATGTCGCCCCACCCTTGGAGTTCATCCAAACCCTGAAAAAGATCTCTTGAGTATTGCGTCGTGCGTACAAACCATTGGTCAAGTAGTCGTCTTTCAACTTTAGCTCCAGATCTCCAGCTGCGTCCGTCGGAATCAACTTGTTCGTCGGCTAGAGTTGTATTATCTATAGGATCCCAATTGACAACGGCTTTTTTACGGTACACAAGCCCTTTTTCAAACAATTTTATGAAGAGAAACTGAGTCCAGCGATAATAGGTTGGATCGCAGGTTGAGATTTCTCGTTCCCAATTAAAACTGTAGTTAAATTCCCGAAACTGGCGGGTCATACTGGCAATATTCTTTTCTGTCCATTCCTTGGGATCTTCACCGTGTTCAATAGCTGCATTTTCTGCGGGCAATCCAAAACTATCCCACCCAATGGGGTAAATGACGTTCTTTCCTCGCATGCTGTAATAACGGGCCAACAAGTCTCCAATTGTGTACACCCGAACGTGCCCCATGTGAAGGTTTCCGGATGGATAGGGAAACATAGAAAGCACATACATCTTCTCATTCGAACGATGCGTCTTTCTTTCAGCCACCTTTTGTTTCCAGAATGATTCGATGTCCTTCTTAACATCGCGCGTAAGCGCTGCGCCCCACTCTCCGCTCCGACTAAACAGTGTTCGTACGAATTGCGCAGGCTTGTTAAACTGCAGAATGCTCATCTCGGCATTTAAAATCTAATTTCTTAAATTGGATTATCCTGATGTTGCAGAATGAAATAGGTGACGTTAGAGACACGTGCTGTCCGTATATGTTAAGGAGAAACATACAAAATCACAAAAAACAGTAGTTGAAGTTCTTGGTAACTCATGTCAGTCAAACTGTGCGATGCACTCTCAGAAGGATGGAGGACGCCATTTGTGACTAGATGCATTAGAGGAAACATATACACATCAAAACATACATCAATGCTAAGCAGGTTCAAATAGCGAAAAGTAATATGATAACACTATAGATAATCGCAATTACATTTTACCCGTTTATCGCATTGAAAAGGGTATGCAATATATACATGCATTACATATTAGAGTGAAAAAATATTTTGCACTAAATTTATTATACAACGATATTATTATTATGGTCATACTTCGTGATCTGAGAGAATAAGTAGCTCTTTGTAGTAAAGACTATAATCTCTGGAAGTAGCTTACCCGGCTAAAATCCAACCGCTCGTCCCACGGTTTGAATACAGTTTTTCCTGATCCCTCAATGGCTTCGTTCAGGCACTGAACGTTATTGATGTCGATTTTGGTATATAAAGTATATTGAATCCCAAGCTCTGGTCCACTATGTGCATCATCTCCTCCGTGGTCTGCGTGCTGATGAGAGCAATGGCCTGCGTTCCACATCACTTTGTGCCACTGATTTTAACTCTGTAATTTGCAAATTGTACAAAGAGCCTCTCACGTTTTGAAAATATCACCCCACTTGCTTGACTCCGCTCTACTGTGCCTTGAAAGCTAATCACAACGTAAACACTGCTCAGCAAGCCGATTTCACTTCCTCCTATTAGTTGGTTAATAGTGTTGACTCAAAACTGGGGATTCATATTGAGTCGTCAGCCATTGTCTGTTTGTAGAGGGCGCTGCGATGGATGGTTCCGCGCAGGATCAGCAGCACCATCACGACTGGCAGACGATGCAGTGAATAGTTACTTGAAGTGCACGCTTGATTTTATGCAACGTTTGAAGTTGTTTTTGGCATGGACGTTTATTTCACGTGTTCGGATTCTTAGGTGAAATTTAATGAACATCGACTTATTAATTAAACCAAATATCAGGTTAGTTTCCATTATGAAGGATTCTTTGTTAGTATGTTAAATAGAATCTACTTGGCTGTAGAGATACAGCCGTTCTTATTTGTTTTTCTACTCTGATGGTAAAATCCCTACTTTACAATTGATAATTAATTGATTTAATAACTGTAGCCCTAACACCGATAGACTTCGAGTCCTCATGATTTCTTCATGAGGTCTAAATGCCAGGGAACCGATAGCTTACGTATATAAACATGGGCTACGGTATCGTAAGCGTTTTATTCCTATTTATGTCCTGCGCCGTGCGGAGCCAGTGTGTGGACGAAAACGTGAAAATTAACTGAAAGTAACATACAAATAAGGGGCAAATACATAATAAAAGGCCATATGATAGTATATCAGCATGGCTAATATCGAGTAACTGATTATAGACTGATGGTAAATAGAATCCTTCATATATTGTCCGTTCATAAATACCTAGAATGGCTCTTAGCCTTATGGGTTAAATTGTTAATCTTATTTCATCCTAGTTATATATATATATATATATATATTTATACAGATTTAGTTAAGGCTTCGGATTTTTGTTTAGCTATTTCCATAGTAATTCTTCAATTTATTCTCTTTCTATTAAAGAAGCATATGTTTTTTCAATACAGGAACATTTCTTGCCGTTTATTATTATTATCTATCTGCACATTATTCGGGCGCTGTGACTTTCGAAAAATGATAACTGATCTAAGAATTCAAGCGGAAGAGTCATTTTTCTCATTTTCTTTGCTCAAGACACGTAAAAAAATTTAAATCGGATAGAGTAGAATAATTTAGTGCTTAAGTCTGGCACAAAGATTATATGGCTCTTATATGCTTCGTCCAAAATCGTCGTAAGTCTTTTGGTGTAAAATTGCACATATCAGAATTGTTCGTTTCTCGCCCTTTCTCAATAGTGAAATGGGTTAAACGGAAATAGCAACTCTTTCTCCACTAATGTATTCTATATGTGGAAAAGATATCGACCCCTATTATGCGTTATTAATTTCCAAAAATCGTAGTCATTTACAAATCTACCGGCATACAAAAAGGCAGTTCGAAGCTCATTTGAAACGCCAATAAAAGAGAACCGGATAGATAGCGACTTTCATTATATATAGAAAATGTATAATGGATTAAAAAGGTAGGTGTACAATACCACATATAGTATATATAATATTATTTTATAACATAATCCTTTGTTGTTGAATGTCAGATATTATAATGGCAGAACGTAAGGGAACTTCCAAAGTTCGAATGCTTCAAGATATTGAGGAAGATGTTCAGAAATTTTGGGAAGATCAAAAAATATTCGAGCAAGATGCCCCGATAGACTTTAATTTAGATGAGAAAAATGAGCAGAAATTCTTCACGACCTTTCCGTATCCATATGCAAATGGTCGTCTTCATCTGGGACATACATTCTCCCTCAGCAAGTGCGAGTTCGCAGCGGGTTATCAGCGTATGCAGGTACGTTTTGGTCAAATAACTAAGTATATAAAAATAGTCTATAGAGAACTTGCTAATTAAGTGATATTTCTTGAAGGTCATGATCTGTCATACGTTTATCATATTTTTTCAATTTATATTACATTAAATAAAAGAAGTACATCTTGGGATGAATAGTTAATTTTTTGTAATTTAATTACTTAGCTATTTTTTGAGGTATTAGCAATATTCTATAACCAAACTGCCTTTAAATACACAAATAATTAGCATTTAAATCTATAACTATGTATAATATATTGTGTTGAATGTAATATGAATCATAAAAGACAATACAATTCAAACTTTTTCTTTAATAACAAAGGTACAATTTAATGCGGTTTAGGCAACCATTGTGGCGTGCATAATGTAAACTTATTATTTTGTGTATTATTAAGTTCATTAGAAACATGAAACTGAATAGTATCATTAATATATATATGCAGTACTGAAATAACTTGAATTGGGTATTTCAGGGGAAAAAATGCCTCTTTCCGTTTGGTTTTCACTGCACCGGCATGCCGATAAAAGCTTGCGCTGACAAGCTGGTCCGTGAAATGGAGCAGTTTGGTTATCCACCGCAGTTCGCTTCCGAAGATGACTCGCCCATTGATGAAAAGCAGAAGGTACGAGAGAGTAATGAAAAAAATAAGAACGAGTTGGCGCAGGTGCGTCGAAACTTGGCTCTTAACCGCATGAAAATTCAGAGCGACTCCAGTGTTATGCATTAAGGATGAAACTGGAAAAATTCTAAACGCGGAGAAAACGATAGCTTTTAGTTAGTGTGATGGCAAACGCATAGATAAAAATTTTTCCTAAGTGAAGCTCTTTTTCAACGATTACAGCTTTTTGAAAAATCATACAATTTGGATATGTGCAAATACTGTATTGCGAGTTTGATGTCAAGATCTAATTAGCCAGTTTATTTTCAGACCAAGTAATTTTTGCTTCCCAAAGAAATATCTTAAAATTATTCATAATTAAATAATGTGACAGTTTTAATGTTCTTATTTTGCACAACTTTTATTGTAGATGATGATATTTTATTGCATCATTGAGTATGAAGTTAGTTTTATCACATCCCTTATTTCTATATTTATTTGTGGCTGATTAGTTATTTAATAACAGGGGTCTAGGTTTGGCCATTACTAAGCACAGCCCCACTGAGACACGGCAATTCGCGATTGGCTACGGCGCGTCAATGTCCGGTTATAACTACGCAGGCTGGACGCGCATTAAGATGCCATACCAGTGCTCTAAAGGAAAAGTGGGAATTGGATGAACTTTCAGAGTTTCGAACAACCTTTTTCAAACTTGTAGCATTCACAACATTCTTCTCAACAGTCTCTTGTATAATGTATATAACGGGACGACGCTACACGAGATGCGTAATCATGCGCATTCGCAATCCCGTCCCAGTGTCGTGGAAAAATTACGGTATGATAACGCGGGCTATAGTTAGGATTTTGACAAGACAAGAGTCGATTAGCCTCGTTAAGCGAAAAGCAGCACCTAGAGACATCGAAGATTGTAAACCGTTAATTGCAACACACCTAGTACAGTAATATGTTGATTTCTTCGCGTTTCCGGTGCAAATTGGTGCACCATATATCTCTATCGTGTTTCCGTCTTTTCGAGGTTTATGGTCTCCGGCAGGCCTTGAACGATCGACAGAATAAAGCCACATAAAAAGCAAAAGTTGTTGCTGAAAAAAAGTCTGTGGGCATTTAAAATACATTTTTCTATATTAACTTTGTTTGAAAACTCAGAGTAAATTTTTCTGCAATTGAAAGTGATCATTGGGGTCATAGGCGTTTACAAAAAGTTCTGCGTCGAGAAGATTAAAATCATTCTAAGTCACAGATGAGTCGCAATACCACAGACGAAGTCAAAGTCAGTACAAGCTTTTATAATAAGCGCTGTACATCATAGCGACGTATAGGCATTTATAGAACAGAAAGTTCAAGATTAATATAATCATTGAAACAATACGTAGATATGCATAAGAACGTGTCAATTTATATACCAATTTTAACTTTGCCTTATTTAGGATTTTTCACAAGAATTCGGACTCATTAACTCTGAAGGAACAATCGTGATGATCGCAGCTCATTTCTCTAAAAGATGACTCCGATCTCAGTCATTGTGCAACTGGTGATGATTAATAATATTGAATGGGTTTAGGAAATCATGAGCAGTTGAGACGGCAGTTAAAACTGCTGGTACCGTTGAATACACATGTGTTACTGCCTAGGCAAGCTTTGTTAGGTACTTGCAAAATTACGTTGATTTTCTGCGAATACTTCTATCGTTCCCTGTGATGGGCTAACAAAGGTTCCTGAGAAAGATTGTTTCTTTAAAGCGTTCTCTTTAGATGATATCTCTTATGTTTTTAAATACGCTCCGCTTCCTGAATTGTTGGCTGTTGGAGAATTTACTTGTGCAGCGCTTATCATCTTATTAAATCATTTTAAGTGAACATTTCTTAACCAGTTTAATTCATGGATCGTTTATTTTTGGAACGAGTTACTAACTGACTGAAAGAAGGTGCATGTCTCCACCTGGCGTGCCACTTAGATACATTTTCGTTAGAAACGGTTCTACAAGCTTCCTCAAAATCTGTCAAGGAATAACACTCTACAAATGCTCTAATAAATTTCTCGTCTTAGAGTCGGCTTATATTGTTTTATTATGAAAAAAAGAATATATTTACGGAGAATTTGAATGATGAAATCAAACACGTGAAAACCAAGTTTGTGATCACGATTCGGATTAATTCACATGTTTTTTGTGACCTCTTACTCTATTACGATATATATATATATAACTAAAGACGGCATTTTAAACTAAAATGCCGCCTTTAGTTTTAGACCACGTAACGCCAATACAAATCTTCGACCAACAAAAAAAGAAGGCTTTTTGACAAATTTGACTAGAGAAGCGAATTTTGTCGCTTTTAAAACTTTATAGCTAGATAGTCTAAATGCAGTCCATGTGTGGGATGACGACTTATAATGTAGCTTGATGCGAGGTAACAGGCAATTTCTGAGCGCGATGTCGGTAACTTGAGTTCCCATGTTTTCCATTCTGTATGTTGTACCACCGCATTCTGGAAGTATAAACTATCATACTCAGTGCAAATTGAAAACTTTTGCCTTGTTTTTCGTAGAAAAATTTATGATTTCCCGTAACGTACATTTGCGCGACTAGTGTCTACAACCATTGTTCATTTAAATTCGCACTTAAAAACTATGTTCTCAAAAAGCTAACAGTGTGGAGTCAGTGTTACGTAGTATACTTGTGTAATCATAAGTATATATGTACGGTGTTGTTTTCAGCTCATTTTAGATAGTTTATTAAATGTTCTCCTAGTTACACAGTACCGTAGCTAGAGCGGTCGGAAGAATACCTGACACGAAATCTTGAGGTTTGATTTATGTGCTTGTTCGGCTTGTACAATGACTTAATTCCTGTTGTTTATTTCCGATATTTCTGAGCTGTTTTGATCACTTAACTGCACGTGTTATTTCCCCGTTCCTGTGAGCCTATAAGTACTTACTGAGGTTCACTAAATCGCTAATGATAGTGTTTCTAAGTAAATTCAACTACCTGTTTTGTACATTAAAATATCTGAAGTTTTCATAATTATTCCTCTATTATATAGGTAGGATCCGTGACTGGTGCAACTAACATAATTGTTCCTATGGTGCCGAGAACTGTGAACAATTATCATTTTTTTGCAATCTATTTTTGAATATTGTCTGAAACAAATAGAAATTTATCCCTCGTAAAATGTGGCATATTGATTACATATTATCTTTGCTGTTAGAAATATGTATTTGTACCTCATTTTCTAGTAACTATTCGCGACTACTAGAATAATCTGAAAAGCGAAACAAAAAAACCTTTGCAGGAGAAGACTAGCATTGAGGACCAAATCAAGTCGAAATCTAAAGGGAAGAAAAGCAAAGCGTTAGCAAAGACAGGCTCCGCAAAATACCAATGGGAAATCATGCGAAGCCTTGGACTTCCTGACGACGAAATTAAGAAATTCGCTAACGCAGATTACTGGCAAGTATGCGGGTTAAAACTAGTATTCTTCATATATGCAGTTGAATGTAAAAAAAATTACGCGTGCTAATTGGCAAATTACCACCGATGAGACAAAAAAAGCGACGCATTTGCTGTAAGTTTTAGGAGTAAAGGATTGCGCATATCCAGGGAAGTGAAACACAGATAAACAACCTTTTCCTAATGTTGATGCTTAGAATGTTGGATAGCTGGTTGTCTTCATACAACCAGCTCATGAATAAACCTAACCCCTGTCCCCATCATTTTTTCGTCGTAAAGAGCTAAGCACCTTTTAAAGGAAAAACACTTGGAACGTTAAATGAGTAGCTTCTAGTATTTTCTTTAGAAAATGAGATCTTGCAGTATAGACATCGTACATATTGTAGTTAGGTGCTCTTCAGAGTAACGTTTAGGTCCTATCTCAGGTATGCCATTAATACTAGATATTAAAGAAACAATTAGTGAAAATATAAAACATTTTGGAAATAGAATTAAAAAGAGTTGCGATAATACAAAAACAAGATGGTATAATCGGGAAAAAGTGCCTTTACAAGGAGAGCCCCTGCAAACTATTAGTATGCCTCCATTACATTCAAGTGACACAAATGGGCAAATTTTCTATAAAGTTTAAAGTAAAACAGTATCCATCGTTTCTGTTAACGACGTTTAATGCTTAGGTTGGACTATTTTCCTCCAGCCATGATGGCAGATCTCAAACGGATGGGAATCCGAGTCGATTGGCGTCGCTCAATGATCACAACAGACGCAAATCCATTCTATGATTCCTTCGTTCGGTGGCAATTCATACGATTAAAGGAAAAAAACCGTATTAAGTACGGAAAAAGGTTAGTTTGATTAAAAAAAAAGAACAGATTACCATTTAACTAAAAGCCGTTCACTACAAATTAAAAAGAGTTTCCTCATTCATTGCGAACTTGATTAGCGTACAATTGTCGATGAAACACCTTATTGCATAGCCGTTTTTTCTCGAATATAAAATAAACACTTGGCCTATGTTATCTTACTTATAGTTATCCTTAAATGCGTTTCATAGGTAACAAGATATCTGTATGCATGTATCATATATGCAGGATAATACATACAATCGTGTTTATGCCGAGTTTCGAATCGAGTCTAAATTGTCTAAAAACCACAAAGCCATGGAGAATCCTACAACCGTACGTTAAAGGAAGTGAAGTAACAGGAACACTATCCTAAGAAAATGTTTACAAAATGCTCAATCAGCAAAAAACTTCATCAATAACCGCGAAAGATTCGAAGTAAATATCGGGATTAAGCTGCAAAAATACAATTCGGTGAAAACAAATTGTTTTAATCTGAATGATAACTACAGTACCGAGAAGTTCTCATACCTAAGGTGTGTGCCAGATATATTAATTCCGGGTAGACCGTGTTTATTACCGTAGTGACACTTGTAAGTCTATAACCACTGAGTGCCGACAAAAACCAAAGAACTTAATAATATGTGAAGGAGACTTGCTGTTAACAATAATTTTCTTTACATACAGATACAGCATATTTTCACCGAAGACAAATCAACCTTGTGTAGATCACGACCGTCAAACCGGGGAAGGGGTGGAACCGCAGGAGTACACCATCGTCAAGCTGAAGATTCAAGAACCCTTACCTGAGGTGTTGATGCAGCTAAAAGGTAAGTGGCTGGAGATTGTTTTTAAATCTTTTTTTACCAGCACTAATAATTTCAATACTTTTATACAACCAATTAGGAGTGGAGAAATCAGTATTTACGAATATATGAAAAAGGGGAAGGTAATTAGCTGTAATTAGTTAGTCATACGAATATACAACATTTATACCATATTTTCAAGTTCTATTACAAGTGGACTTTCATAATGCTAGATAAGGCAAAAGTATTTAGTTACGGTCGCAATTTTTGGCAGAATTAGTAGCTACAGGACTAAGGCCCATTGGGATTCTGACCTAAGCTAAATCTAGACTGCGTGTCATGTAATTCTGTCCTTAGTAAAAAAAAAAAAAAAAAAAAAGTAAATTGCTACTAATAGTGGACGCCGGTCAATTGAAAACTGAGAAACAGTGCCGTGTACCCACTAAAAAAAGAACAGTTCGTCTGTGGTCTGGTAGAAATGGCGTCTTCACGTTATGATTACCGCTTTGGTCGTCACACGATTCTTGCTTCTGCCTGAGTATAACAAATGAATGAATTTGTATTATCTAGTCCTGTATTTACTCCGTAAATGTCTCATAGTACAATAACTAAAGCATCATGTAAGAAAAGAGATCTATTCATGGAATGTGCGTTTGTAAGTGAAAACAAACAGTTTATCGGTGCGGTGTTTTGGGTGATTAACCCTAGGTGCTCTAGGGAAGCTGAAAATCGCTGGTTCAATCTCATCGACATTATATATATATGTACGGTACCTGTCACGAAATAATCAATTTCAAGACTCGTATAGATATTAAATAATTTAAGCATAATTATTATGTCTTGAAGCAGGATATTTGACAGATCACATGTTATATTGTTTCATACGGTTCGGGCAGGGTACAACGTCTTTCTCGTGGCTGCAACACTTCGGCCTGAAACGATGTACGGTCAAACAAACTGTTGGATATCACCAGATATAGAGTATGTAGCCCACAAAATGAAGGGAGGAGAAATTTTTATATGCACATTCCGGTCGGCTTATAACATGTGCTATCAGGATCTATGCACGACACATGGACAGGTTGACGTACTCGCCAAGTTTAACGGAGCAGCTTTAATGGGTATCGCTCTTCATGCCCCCCTTACGAGTTATAAGACCATTTACACTCTACCTATGTTAACAATAAAGGACGATAAGGGCACGGGCATCGTAACAAGTGTCCCAAGTGATTCACCTGACGATTTCGCTGCGTTGCGTGATCTCAAACAAAAGGAGTCGCTGCGCAAAAAGTATGGGATTAAAGATGAAATGGTGATTCCGTTTGAACCCATACCAATTCTTGAGATTCCCGGTCTTGGCAAGCTTGCAGCTCTGAAAGTTTGTGACGACTTAAAGATCCGAAGTCAGAACGATCGAGATAAACTTTCGGAGGCCAAACAAATGGTATGTGAGGGTAGACCAGGCTATTTCTCGATTAATTTCTATTAAAGGCAATATTAGCATGTAAAATGACTAAGGGAGAGAGTTGTACATTAGTATGCCGTCTAAATTCTTCGCAAGTGATCACTAAAATAAGTTTAAATTTTGTGCTATCTTTATCGATTTAGTTATAAGAAAGTAGACTTTCAAACTATAAAAATGCACCTAATTGTTGTGCTCGACAGGTGCTTATCAACGCATTTACTGGGTACATAATGTACACAGTATTGTACCGCAGTAGAGCAGCCAAGTTGTATATCGACTTGTTTTCCGTGAAGTGTTTAGCTTGTGTGTGTTTCATTGTTTGTTTGCAGGTGTATTTGAAGGGATTTTATGATGGTATACTTTTGGTTGGTCCTTATGCCGGGAAAAGAATCCAGGACGTAAAGAAGCTCATTCAAAATGAGCTGTTGGAACGCAAAGAGGCAGTTTTTTACATGGAACCAGAAAAGAAAATCATTGCACGTTCTGGAGAAGAATGTGTCGTTGCTCTTTGCGACCAATGGTACCTTGATTACGGTATGAGTCACACTATAACATCTAATTACGATGGGTAACTGTAACAGCTAAGATAGGGCTTGACTAACAGCAAGCAGAATTGTAGTACTGCAAAACGATCTTAGCTATGCAATATACACTTTAAATCATCATCAAACTATCTATATTGCCAGTATTATATTTTTTTTACCTAAGTAATTCGCAACAAAATTCGTTTAGAGTCTGCTAACTATCCAACTACAAACACTGTAGAAAATAATCGCAATAAAAACATTGCCACGTATAACCTGGAGAAGAATCTATATTTTGCTATCTAAGTTTTTTAAATGGCTTTCGCACATGTATTTTTTTCTGTTTTAGAGTAGAAAATTGTTTTTTTTAGAACTTTTGGATACATAGGAAACCTTATAGAAAAGCTCATTTATATGATTCAGGTATATAGCAAAAAAAGTACACCGGCATATTCGTTCTGATATCTACTATGCCTTGGCAATGCTACACAGAATTTTAGCCACTACAGCTAAGAGTTTTTTTATTGAAACATTGACCAACTGGTCTTACAAACGTAGCAATCCATAGGACGAAAGTACTAGATGCATTCTCAGTTAGACAGTGGTACAGATCAAGAAAAAGTTGTTCATAATTTTGTTCGAGTGGAGGGATGGTTGACAGTACTAACGTGAATGCATTTATTTATTACAACATGGAGAACTTCAGTAAAGTCGATGGATTTATATATATATATTATATATATATTTGGTTTCTCTGAAAAGCTTTGTTCTTTTGTGACTTGAATTGGGCCAGGTCGTTATTGTTGGCTTACCGGTAAATTTTGCGTGGTTATTTCAGGAAAAAATAAAAATCGAAATTTAGGAGATCTACAAATATGATGAGCTGTGGCGTGGAACAGCAGACATAATTAATTGTGCCTGTCAAATTCTAGTAAATAATAACCCCCTAGAAAAAAAAAACAGGTTGATCTCAAAGTGTACTTGAAATAGCTCTGATTTTTTGCATATCTAGCCAAGAAATTGTAGAGTATTCAACTACTCAGAAATTCGAGAAATCTGAGATACTAAAAAATTGAAAGTTCATTTTACTTCACATACTTAGGAGATGCATACTTAGCAGATGCAGTTAACAATCATTCAGTTTTTATTTACCACAAAAATGTTGCAAGATTGTGTGATCTATAATATGATACACTGCATGTACTAATGAATAACTTGTTTGAGCTAAACACGAAAGACGTGGCACGTGCAAAAACTATTGCCTGATGCATGATTATTAATATTAGGTCGGAAGGTAATTCCAGCTTGCTTTAGATACTTCCAACCTTTAGAAGATAATTAATCTCAGAGATTAAATTTGTTTCTTTCACTTCTCATGGGTTTTGTTGGTATAAGAAACAGATTCTTCCGCTAACCAAGGAGGTATCAGTGGAAGGCCCGCATTCATTGATTTATCCTTGGTCTATTCGAATTTTCGAGCTTTTAATGAAAAGATGATATTCCATCAAGTCTATTTGTTGACTTGCTTTAACGACTTGAGTAGAGTCGCGGTCTGCATTCATCGTATCGCTGTTTATAGTAAGTGGACAGTTGCTTTGACCACCCCTGTCTGAGGTCTGCTGTCCGGTTCATATACTGAACACATGATGAGATAACTTTTCTCCACCGTACGAGCAACAGTATGCATATGTTCAACGGTCTCCAATGGCACTTTCACTTAGTTCATGAAGATTTCTATCCTTTATACTTTATTTAGTATAAATAGGCAATTTTAAACAACGTGGCGACTAACGCTTGGCTGCACTCAAAGTTTTCGAGCTTACCGGAGACGAATTTTCATGCAATAAAACCTGTACTGCATCGTTGTTTGTACCCCCATGGTGGCCCCCGAAACTAACTTTGTATTTAAAGTAGAGACCAGTCTAGTTTTCGAACCCTAAAGCCAGAGTCGACAAGCACTGTCATAAACTGCTCACTCTGTGCATAATGATCGTCTTCTAAACCACGTTGCTTATGGGGATAGTGATCTAGAAACTGTGTGTCGAACACATACTTTTCAGGAATTTACGTTTTAGTGGAAGACAAAACTGCTACAAATAACCCACGTTTTTTTTTAAATGCTAAAAAGACATCTATCAATGTGAATATAAAATAAATTTAATGAATAATTGAGTTTCGCCGCACATTAGTACAATATTACGGTAGTACGAAATTTGGTTCTTTACTAACAGTAAGTGCTGACGGTATATCTTATATTTCGACTCTAGTCTGCTCAATGTGATCTACAAAATAAGCGGAATCAGCAAGAAAATTTGTATGGTCTTTTTTGTCTTCACAGGTGACAAATCATGGAAAAATATGGCTCACATCAACCTAAACAGTATAGAATGCTATTCAGACGAAGTGCGAAATAATTTAAAAAAATCCATCGATTGGCTTCAGGAACACGCGTGTTCACGGACTTATGGTTTGGGAACAAAACTGCCTTGGGATGAAAAGTGGCTTATTGAATCTTTGTCCGATTCGAGCATCTACATGGCATACTATACAGTGTCACACCTTTTGCAGGGCAACGATATCACTGGACGTCACGGAAAAAGCCCTCTTGGTAAGCATTTTGCAAACATTGTGTTTAACGTTGTGAGGAGAATGAATGAGCATTAAAAGCATCTAAATCGTTATTAGTTTACTCTAAGGTTGTCTGAGTTTTCGTCACATGTTCACTGATGTTGAATGATAATAATATACTAATAATTCTTGGAACTTTCTTGTATTAGTGGTCTTGGTAACATCAACTTTCTAAGGTTCATCCATATATATATGAGAAATCTGCATAAAATTATTACCAACAAGCTTAAAAATTGACGGATGTTCTGAGCGAAAGCATACATGAGGCAAATTTGTCGACCTTGAGCCTTAAGTATATTCGTTTTTCCGTCGACATATTGCGGATATCCAACAGTAATTCAACCTGGAAGAAACAAGGTCCTATCAAATGAGAAGTAAAGAATTAGAAAGTACTATCCTAACCTGGAAACCCAACAAATGGAAACCACTGCAAGTTGGAAGTTGGCACATCAGCCCGTTTGGACCTTTTTTGCTGCACGCAATGCATGGTATAAGTATGTTTTTTGCGAGGAAGCCGAAACCTTTTATAACGAGTATATGGGAGAGAATATTCCACCCAGCAACTTTGATACAAATTCTGCCCATTTAACTCGCTACTCCATAGAAACTCGGAAAATAATAATAATAAAAGACTAATGCTGAAACCGTTGCTTTTTTTCGAATCACTTACAAAAATACCTAGAGCATATAGAGCACATAT